GGGGCAAATAAAATGCACACACGAGCGCACGCGGAGGAAAGCCCGGCCCCTGCCCCAGGCAGCAGGAGAGCCAGGAGTTGGGGCTCTGCTCTCTGCGTCTTCCAGGAGCCAAGGAGAGGCCGGCTGCTGGCTGGATGGTGGATGGTGGACTGACGGAGGAATGGGTGGGTGGATGGGTGGACGGACAAACAGCAGATGAATGGAGGGAAGTTACAAGGGGTTGTGCTTAAGCAATATAGGTGCAGGGGAGGATGGGATGCGTGGAAGGATGAGTGAGGTAAGTGGTTGTGGACGGAAGAGCTGTGTGGGAGGACGGACGGACAGATGGGTGGAGCACTGGATGGAGGGTGGGAGGATGGAAGGATGGACAGTCGGATGGATGGGTGGAGCATTGGATGGAGGGTGGGAGGACCGATGGAGGAATGAGGCAGTGAGGATGGACAGGGTAGGTGGCTGTGTAAATGGATGGGTGGCGTACGAGTGGAGGGCTGAGGACACCGGTGGGCTGTGCAGATGGAAGGATGGTGCCTGGATAGGTGGATGAGTGGGCTGAAGGTGGAATGGGTGATGGGCAGGTGAGTCAGAGGCACAGACTGCAGAACTCATCCAAGAGGGTCGGGTTGGTGGGGGTGGGGAGGGCCAGTTTGAGCTACCCAGGTTGCCTTTGTCCAGTCTTGCTTCAGGGGGACTCCTGAGAGATGCTGAGGGAGGAGCTTGGCAGAGGAGTCACAAGGAGGTGGGTCTGAAAGTGAGGTGTAGCCCACCATTTGCCCTGTGTGACTGTCCTCAGCCACCCTCTCCCCATTCTCACCCTCTGGCTACCCTCTTTACTTGGGGACAGTGGGGACATCCATTCCCATGTTTGGATTTGATTTTCCATAAGCTACTTCATCCCCCATCTTAAAGATCCATAGCCCCTCTTCTGAGAGACTCTAGAGTGAAATTCCAAATCTTGGAGGAATGGCCTCAGGGAGGTTACTTCAGATCCCTCTCTACTAGGATGCTTCTGCCTCCAGCCTCTTGCTCTTTTCATAACTTGTGGTCCACTCTGAATGTGAAATCCCCCTTCCTCTGCCTGAATATCCAATACCTTACACACTCATCATGTTAGCAGTCCACCAATCCCTTTGCTGCCCAAGCCCAACATCTGGTCCAACTGTTGGCTTTTCTCAGCAGACCCAGCAGGAAGCTCCATCCGGGTGTCATCAGCGTCACCATCAAACATTAATTCACATTATTGTCACCATCCTCAGCCTGAATGTCAGTACTCATCCCCATTTTGTTCTTCTCATGACCATCACCATAACCCGCAACCAGTGGCACTCCACCACCATCACGGTCACCACCATCACCATCAGCAGCAGCCCCACCACCAGCACCAACCACCTTGGGGGTGGGGCAGGGGGAGGGCAACTCAAATCAACCCAGCGCCCAGGCACATGGGTCATCAGGTGGAGTTCTGTCCAAACCAGTCCCTCTTGCAAGCCAACTTGTGGCCCGTACCTCTGGGGGTGTCCTGAGGGGCTGGTCAGAAGGGCCACAGAGGCACATACCATGAGGCAGTCAGGAGGGAGGGGAGGGCCCCCTTCCCAGCCCAACCCCCTGGGAAGCCTTCTTTTTGCCCCCTCCCTCTAGGAGAAGGGCTGTCTTCTCCAAGTCCGGAGGAAGGTGGCAAGGTGGTGCCTGGGGGCTGCCCCTGAGAACCCGCAGCTGAGCCCTCCCATCCTTCTGTGCCCAGGTCCTCACTGCAGCTGCCCTGGAGGCCGGATCTCGCGGCACTAGCAGCCTGTGGCCACCAGGGGGCCTCTGATATTAGGCCCGGAGCAGCGGCGAGGGTGCCTGCCTGCCGCCCGCAGCCAGGATCCCCGCGGCTCTGCCGTGGGGGAGGGAGCCGCCCTCCCGGCTGCTCTGCGCTGGAGCCGGTGGGGCTGGGGCTCCTCCAGACAGGCCATCCAGGGCAGGTAGTGTCCCCAGCAACCGGGGCTTCTCAGCAGGGCTGTGCCTTCCTCTTCCCTGTTCTGGGGACTCCTTGCTTCCCTCTCTGATTTGCCTCTTTTAGAAAATTGTGCCCTTGCCCCAGTTCCTGATCCAGATCCCGCTCTAGGAGGGGCAGAGAGGACCCCCCCCCCCC